AAATCTTTTTAGTTCAGGACTATTTATTTACGTAGTGCTAATTCACAACAAGTGTAATCTGAAGGCATTTTTATTGTCAGAAATATATCGGTGAGAACTACGAACCTTAACTAGAGTGGCATCTGTTTGTATTTCTCCGAAACTATCTGAAAAGGTTGCAACTTTGATTTAAATAAAACGTTTCTGAAATTTGATGAACTACATATCTCATCAGATTTTTATGCTTTTATCTGGCTTTTGCTAAAGCAGCAGCTCTAAATGTGCTTTCTAAAATGCATTGATACCTAAACTGTAACCCCCCCAACGTCCTGCACGTAACATTTACTTTCGTACCGTCGTGTGTTTTGTTGCACATGTCTCGGATGTGGTTCTGTACTTTTTGCTGTGCTCTGGGACATTTCTTGGCTGTGCTTCTGGGAGATTTGGACGTGGCTTTTCCTCCTCCTGCTTCAAACGACATCAAACCAGCTTTTCATTAGCTGGAACCACAGGATCTCTTCCAGGCTCTTCGCCAATCTGATATCATTTGACATTTAATATCCCCCACCCAAAATTAAGTCTCATCAGCAAACCTAGAGCTATAATTAGACCTTGTTTAAAAAAAAAAAAAAAGGGGGAAGGATTTCTTTTCCACACGCGTTACTCAACATGTTTGAGAAATAACTCTGCTAGTTGTTGCTCGTCAGTTTTTCTAAAGAATTTCACCTTCAGCCTATATCTCGTTTGATCTCGATTAGGTTCTTTACACGTCTAATTATAGAGGAATTATGTGAATGTAAAGTAATAAAATTATACATTATTAAGATTTATTGAACTTTTCAATGTCTAGAGAAATGATATTGACGTAAACTTACTAAAGGAAGAAACTAGGCTGATTACTAATAGACCAAACAATTTGTCAAGTATAACGCTCACATTTAAGATGCCTTTAGACAAAACTGCTGAAATTGTGGGAGCACAAAAATCTGCCAAAGCGTCTCATAAGATGTTGACTCACATTTGTGCCCTGAACAAAGGTAAACGATCCCCCTCCATCTGTAACCTCCGTCTGCAGACGTAGTTACAATTCAGTGCCCTGAGTCGGTGCTTATGGCCGCCCTCGCCTTGTAAACAAACACAGATGCCTGTGAGTCACTTTCTCTTGACGAACAAGGAGAAAGCACACGGCTTTATGAAGCTGTCTGTGTGCACATCCCATCTGTTAGCTGTGCTTTTTGTTTATAGTATAATTCATTCTTTCAACAAATAAGAGCCATGCCTAAGGATTCATATCGTATGTTTTATATAGTGCTACGGTACAGAAACAAACTTCATTATGTTGAGAATTTAGATTAGACAAAGTATAATATTTACAGATGTTTTATTTTATTCAGCCTTTATTTTACCAGACGGGACAGATTTTCATCTGGGAGCTGGCAAAAGGCAGAAGCTTATGAGGAAAACGGTAATATGAGCCGACATTTAAACAGCAACAGATAAAACGCTATAAAGCTCCAATAACTATTATAGTCGTTAAAGAATAGTGCATAATTGTGAAGTAGATGGAAAATGCTGTTCATTCTTTTTTTTTTTTACAAATCAAAGTCGAAAAAGTGTGTTTTACATTTGTTTTCAACCCTAACAGAGTTATTACATGCAGATCCCTCTGTCACTGCTATTACAGCTGCAAGTATTTGAGGTTTTTACCATTTTTTTTTTTTTTACCATTCCACAGACTTAATTATTTGCTTATTTTTGTTTGCAAAATTGGTCAACCTCAGTCATTGTTGCTCTGTTGCAGGGTTCAAATGTTTGGTAATTTTGTTTTTGTTGGATCGGGGGAAAAAAAGATTTATTTTTTTTTCTCGTTTCCTCTGGAAAAAAACTTTTTAGCCAGAGTTTCAAACTCTTATGTGCGCACACTCTACGTCTTACAATCAAGTTTGGGTAAGATTTAGGTCTGGAGCTTGTGTGGAAGTAGATCCAAGATTGTTTCAGGTGTTAAGTTTCCACAAGAAAATATATTGTGCATTGTCGGTATGGATGTGCTTGATTTATGAGAATCCATGAAGCCTTCAGGATGAGGCGCTGTGTAATTAGCCAGTCCAAACCTGCCATCATCAGGCGTTCAGTCCCGTTCACGAGCTGTCAGTCAGAACTCCTTGTGCCATGTGGCCTCTTACATGAATATCCGTTTGTCATTAAAGCTGTTTGCCTTGTTCTAGGAACAGTCAAACATCTGTGTGTCATGATGAGTGAGTGCTGAAAGAAGGGAAAATGATGGAGGGAAAAGAGGAGGGCAGCGTCAGGGAAGGGATGAAGGATACTTTTCCCACACAAAGGCTTCTGTTTTTCTCGAGTTATTCCAGTTACAGCTGGAGGAAGCATAGTGTTTAAGATCATCAGTCATGTTCCAGGTGGAGGCCGCACCGAGCAGAGCAGGTGGAGAGATTCCCCATTTAAACCTAAGCTAGTGCTTCCCTGATCATGGCGACGCGCCCCCAGCAGAATCCCCATCCCTAGAAAGCTAAATCAACTCTGTAGAGACAGATCACATTCAGAAGTCCTTTTTATAACAATAATTTCATAATACTTGCTGCATTCCTGTTGGTTGTGTGGTAGGCTCCACTTCTCCTTTTCAAAGATGTATATAATTGCTCATCTGTTTACAGCCATTGTCAGTTGCGTGGCCAGCAGCAGCTTATTTAGATTTAAAGTGAAAAGACGCCCTAAAACGACTCATTCAAGTAAATTCTGACAGCTGTGTGCTACAGAACACAAATGCTGGTGAGAACAGTCTTGCCACGGAGAGCTTTAAAACCCTTGGGTGGATGCTGGTTTGCTGGGTCTTCAAGCTACTTGGCTTAGACCTCCTTCCCCTTGACACACCTTGCAAGGCACCATCATAAGACATGTTTATTTTTTTTTAGCTTTTGATGCCTTTGCCTAAAGTAAAATAAACATCCTGGGGCAGCGTTGGAAAACCGCAGTGTTTTTGCAAGGAATGAGCTGTTTGATTGCTCTCTTAATTCTCTCTAATGGCACCTATTGGAGGCTTTTTATGGTTCTTGTAACTTAAGATGCTGGATTAGTAACACAAACACTGGCAGAGGCTCTCGGATGCTGAAATCTTCCTGTTTGACTTGATCTTCACATCGTCTTTAGTTCATTCTTGTAATTTTGCAAACAATGCAGGCTGTGTGTTTCGTCCTCTAATGTCACGAGAGCTGTTTCTGTTGCCCTGCTCGTCCTGTCTGTTTTGTCAGACACGCCTTTATGTGCACAGGAACCATTAGTGGTTTTATGTTTCTCATTTCATGTGCTTGTGTGTGTGTGTGTGTGTTTCTGCGGGGGCACACGTTCATGGTCTTTGTGCGTTTTTACTTTAGAGCCTTTGTTAAACTGACTCCTCTGCAGAACGCAGGCGTTCAATGTGTTTCTCATTTCCTCCTTGGCTTATAAATACGGAGAAGTAAACAGATCTCTGTGATGGCGCTGCTTCATGCTGCTGATTTATAGCCTGTGTCTTCTGCAGACTGAAGAGGCTGTTTTCTTGTGTTTCAGAGTGTTTACAAAACACATACACACACACACAGCAGGATGTTTCTCATCAGCTGAATCAGACCACGGATGTAAATAATTTCAGTGCAGAGATCAGTAACCCATCCTTTGAACTGAAGGATGCTGATTCTTAACCCCGTTCAAGCGACTGACCTACTGTCTCCTCTTTCGCTCTAAGGTGGCTCCGATGTCCGGCAGTCTGAATGGGGATCTCATCTCGTCCTCCGGTCTCAGTGGCTCCACCTGCGTCTCCGAGTCGCCCCACTCCCAGAAGCCCGTCGTGCGGGGAAGCCTCTCCGTGGCGCAGGCCGACTACCCCGAGCGGCCCGATGTCCTGCTCCGGCGGGAGACCGGCTCCTCGACGCTTCCTCTCCCGCTGAAGACGGAGGTGCCGCTGCACCTCTTCAGCACCACCAACCAGCAGCACAAACCGGTCGGGGTGCAGCAGCAGATCCCCACCAAACTGGCAGCGATCAACAGCGGCAAAGGGAAAGGAAGCAAGAGTGGGAAAGCGTCGCATCGCACCGACAGCTCTGGTAAGCAACCAGTGATTTCCATTTACCAGTACAGTACTTCTTCCTTTTTATTATTAGGCCTGTCACAATAACAGATTTTGTTGTTTTCAGACCATTTTCAAGTCATATACTTAAAGCATACACTTAAATTTCTAACAAACATATCACAATAAATCAACAAGACACTTGAAACGACAAATAAAAATGAATACTGAAAATTGTCCTTAAAAAAGGGCTAGTTGAGACCGATGCACCAGACTAAAGACTCTTTTATGTTTTGTTTTTTTTTAAATTTTTTTATTTTATTGATCATGCGGTTTATTTGGAAACAAACCCCAGTGTTTAATGGGACAGCATGTGATACTCCAGCAAAATATATATTTACATAAATCTGAACGGCATGCATTTGCATTCAGCCCTCTTTACTCTGATACCCCCCAAGTTAAATCCAGTGTAGCCGTCTACTTTCAGAACAAGGCACAGGCCGACTACCCCGAGCGGGGTAGTTTGTAAGTGGGAGTCAACATGTGAAATTAGAGCAGCAGGTAACATGTCCTCCCAGCAGCGTTGTTGAGCGTTCAGAAGCCGACGCCAGCAGTGACACCGCCGCAGCTGTCAGCCTGTGGGAGATGTAGATGTTTATCTCAGAAGGAAACAAGTTTTGAGTTGGTCTTATTGAAATAATTCCAAATTACGTGAGAAAGAATGTTTTTGAGATTCCTCTCTGCATGTCTGCACTTGTACTGAGCCATATTTAGAGCCTTTAAGACATTTCCTCCTCCTCCTTTTTACTTTGATTCCCACAATAATTATAGAACTACAACTTTTGTAAAATGCATCATTAGATTTTTGTTAATTTTTACACATTCCTTACCTTAGACCATTGTTTAATTTTAATTGTTTAATTTTGAGGGTAAAACCAAATGGTTTTACCCTCAAAATTATTAAAAAATTTCCCTGTGGGAAGCTTCACTGCTCCACACGCCTAACACTGCAATCTGCCAACCCTCTGTCTCTTTTTCTCTCTCCGTTTTGGACATCCTCCTCTTAGCCTCGGTGGACATGAAGCAGATGCTCCCCCTGAAACTGTCTGTTAGAGACGACAACGTCCTGAAGGCCAAACGCTCCATCAGCCCCCATCAGCAGTCCCTCCAGTCTCACTCCCTGCATCACCACTCAGGTATCTGTCCAGATAAACACATCTTCACGGCGCCTCATTTATCGAAAACTGGCAAAGAAATCATCATTTGACATGATACCTATGGATCATGTCAGATGAAACTCTGTGTGAGGTAGATAATTGTGTGTTGAATTTTAAGGTGAAAGAAATCCCATTTTCCATACCACACCCTTGTATGTTTATAGTTTTTTGTGACCGCTTTTCTATAACCTGACTTCCTTTTTTTCCCCCTCCTTCTTTTTACAAAGTTCATGGAGGTGCTTGAAATCCTTGAAAAATGCTTGAACTTCTATTAGATGTAGGTTTGGAAAGTGCTTGATTTCTGTAAAGAAAAGAAAACTAACACGACGTGGTGGTGGTCCTTGAGTGTACTTGATATTCAAACTGCACTCTTGGGTAATAAAGTGCAATCCAACGTATGACTAAAAGCCTAATTTTCCCAAGCGATATTTATAATTAAATTCAGATATTTAAAGATAATAAAAAAACATTTTTTTTCTCTGTCAGAAAGCTTGGTGAGAATATTGTTTTAGATTTTTTGTAACTTTCTCTTATATTTGTAGTTTAACTCATTCCTGCTGTAGAATATAAAATACCATCACAAAGTATTTATTAACAACAGTGAATAGAAACTGTTTTCTTTTGTTCATTTGGACTCCGAAGTGTGGTGCTGGGAAAGTTTCAAAACGTGCCTTGAAAATTCTTGAAAAATGCTTGAATTTTTGTGTGAAAAGTGTACAAACCATTTGTAATGATTTATCACGTTGTTTTATTTTGATTCTATTTGTCTTTTAATTAATGGAAGCGTCACAACAAAATTAAGATGTCATCCAAAGACACAATAAGGGATTGAAACTAACGTTCTCTGCCAATTTTGTGTAATATTATCTTTATGGTTGACTCACCAATAATGATCATTTAATCGTCTCGTGTTAAAAGTACAGAATGACGAATAGATCTGCAAACATTCTCGAGTAAAACTGAGCCGACTGCTAAGCTGCATTTTTCTGCTGTACACGTTTGAACTTTGAAGTTGGTTCTCACGGACACAAACCTGAATGTTCACCTGGGCAAGCGGGACCCCGCCCTGTGGCATTCCTCTGAAAAGCTCACCCTCATGCCGGCCTCGCCCTGTGTAAACACCAATCAGTTTCTCATCCTTCCTTTTGATAAATGGCCAGCTCTTCTGTTCACACACACACACACACACACGTTTTAATCCTCCTCTCTCACAATCACTTTGAATAAAAATCATTGGGAGGATCTCATGTGATTCACTTCAGTAAGGGCTAAGTGGGCCACACAGGGTTTTCTGAAGGGTTTAAAATGACCTCAGCAATTACAAATGGTATTTCATTAATCTTGCTATTGAAAATAAAGCTAACACTTTGGGCACTCCATCAGAAATGTAAATATCACAGCAGCGTCTGTAGTTTCAGCGAAAGTGAGGATGGAACATAAAATAGTGTGGATTTTAATTTTTTTTTTATTTGTCCCTCACCAGATTCTTTTTGAATTCACAGCATATAAACCTTTTAGAAATGTCATTGCACATTACCTGTGCAAAGACTGAAGTTGCTTCGCTAAACTAAGCAAATTTAAAGAAGTTTTAGTAAAAAAAAAAAAAATCCCTTGGTGTTTCGCCTTTGGCGTTGGCTGTCACCATCTACAAAACTGGGAGTTTCCTGTGTTTCCATTTACTCAACTTACTAAACTTATTTTTTTACCTCTTTTGATATTTTTTTTTATTCTAATATTGTAAATCAATAAGAAATGTATATTTGCAGTGTGTCCTTTAGGAATCAAATAAAAAACTAAATACATTGCTACAAATTTACACACATTACTGAATAAAATATGTAAACCACCAAAATATATTATTTTTTGGCACTACCAGAACTCCATACAATATCTGTTTGATGTGGGTTCCTAGCCACTGATGTTTATACTGCAGCTCTTGGTAATAAACTCAGAAGCTTCCTGCTCAACTCAAATGGGTTTTATCACCTTCTAGTCAAGACTCTGACGTTTCCATGGATACCAAATATGTCTATGTTTAACTGAGGGGAAAATAGTCCAAATCTGCCCCTGGTACCGGTTCTGACCAGCTCGGAATATTGCAAGCATACTGCTGTTTATGATTTCTGGATTAACCCTTTCTTTTCTGCTGGTGTTTTCAGATCAGCTGAGTCCAGAGCAGACTGGATTAGACACGCAGCCCACCTCCTCCATCGGCTCCAACCAGAAGCCCCCCATGCAGGGCGTGCAGCCCCATCCTCCCCCCTCCGTTCACCACCTCCACTCCCAGAGCGCCGACTCCCTCCCGTTCCAGCCCCACCTGCAGCCGCACAGCCTCAGCCAAATCGCACAGGCCAACGCCCCGCTGAACGTTCACGGCCTCAGCGCGACGCCGCCCTACAGCCTCCCTGCTGAGGACCTCAACAAGGAGGACGTCATATTTTTTTAAAGCTCCAGCTGCCCCAGGACCGAGCACTGATCCCCCCAGTCTGACCACAACTTATTGCCGAGGCTCGCGTGGAGAAATTTCCCCCGGCTTTTTATTCGATAGCGTTTGCTAATTCACATTTTAATCCAAGCTGCCTCCAATATTTAATTTAATTCTTAGGTATAAATACTTACAAGTATGGGGTGCAAAGGTGTTCTCAAACAAAAGAGAACACCTCTTTTGTTCTCTTTTGCGTTGATTTATTGTTATTTTAATTAAGTTTTATTAATCCAAAGACACAGAACACATTTCCGAACAGGATCTGACTGAAAGGACAACGGCGAAAGATCATTTTTTTTTTTTTTTTTTTTTATCTAGAAGAAGTTCAGCTTGTGAGAAGCAAAACGTTCAGTGAAGGATATTTACCGCTCTCTCCTGCTGGTCCTGGACCATCATGAAGCTTTTCATCAGAAGTGATCAAAACTCTGCTTGAAGTTTCATCTGCACATTGTAAAAACAAAACAAAATGAAAAAAAAAACTCCTTTCCAAAATAATGAAGGAACATTTTATGGGGAATATGTTGAAAAATGTTGATTGTACAACTTTTATGATTGTAAAGCTTAATTGCATTTTTTGGTACTTGTCTTAAATGTGCTTCTTTCAAAAAAAAAAAAAATCGTAACACCACCAGTCTTATTGCTGGTTTAGAAAGTTGACTAACATTTTATTTCAGCAAAGGCAGGGCTTGTTTTTTTTTTTTTTTGGGTAATATGTGTAAAAATATGAAGTGAGACTCAAAGAACACACTTTCCTTAGAAGAGTTGGAGAGTTTTTTTCTTTGTATTCATAACGCTAATCTGCCAATCTTGTTCTGCTTTGGTCAAAATGACGAACCAGAATTGTGCTTATATAAGCGGCGAAATGGCAAAATGTGGTCAAATTTGACATTTCATTTTAGTTTGTTTCACAGAGGTTGACGAAAGTAAAAAAGACGTATTGCAGGTGAAAACTGAATCTGTTTGTTCTGCTGCTCATGCTGAGCTTGCTGTGAGCTCTGTCTGCATGCTGGACTTTAAAAACAAACGATTCATCAGAATCGGAGGATGAGCAATCAGACGGTGCCCTTCATGGTAGAGATGCTGTGATCATGAGTTAGAGGCTGATTTCCAATCTGATTTTTTTTTTTTAAAGCTTGAGGTGCTTGTGTTGTTTAATATCTATTCAGATTTCAAGAGGAATATCAGAAGATGTAGGGTTAGAATATCTTTTTCTGGTCTTTTTGACATAAAGGAAGCAGATTTAACGTTGATGTAAAACAAGATTTTTCTGTTTCAGACAAAATGATCATGGAGTTTACATTCTAAGCAATCTTATCATTCCATATCATAGATTATTAAGCATCTTTAGGTATTTAGATCCTTCCATTAGTTAAAATTTCTGAAAGGCCACCGACGTTAATCCAGCCTGGTTAAAAGCTCAAAAGTATAAAATAAATTTCTGTGAGCCCTATGATTCTTCTACCACAGGCGTGTCTGAACATGTCTTCTCTTGACTAGCTTCTTGCATCTCTGTGCTTCCTCTGATTCATTTTTAATCACCTAAGTGGGACCAAAACTCAAGTTGTCTTCACTCGTCAGCTGCGTTCACACTGAAGTGTTGTCACGACAACCTGGTCGCTTTTTATGCATGAAGTTTTCTGCTGGTTGGAAACTCGGACATCAAACTGATCACTTGGTTAAGTTCAGATCACCAGCCCGCTGCTGGGTGCATCTCTATTCTGGAGTGCGTTTGGAGAACTCGTTTTAAAAGAAGAAATAGCAACGGCTGCCTAAGTTCTAGGAGTTTCTCCTCACTCATTACTCGTGCAAATCGAAACCAGAGCAGTAAAAGGAGACCTAAAGTTTGTATTTTGCAGCTGACTATCAATTTCAAAGTTGATGCACGCAACTGTTTTGAGTTTGTTCCACTGGACTCTGGTTCACGTTTAATATTTCATTTGAAGGATTGTGAATGCTAAAAGATGTACAACTGAAATCTATTTGTCTTGAGAAGAAAATGTGGAGGTTTCCATTTTTTTTATTTTTTTTAACTCTTTGCAGACAGAGACCAAGCTCAGTAGGGTCACCCGGAGCGGCTTATTTTATATCCTGTATATTTTTGTACATACTTTATGTGACCTACAGCATTAGCTGCCCTCCTGTTGCTTAATTTGTTCATTTGTCATGAATCAGGTTGTAAAAATCCAGCGGAAGTCTGTTTCTGTGTACACTTTACACACACCCACACACACACGCCTGTATGTAAGCTCACCTGTGGACGCTCTCAGCCGTCGATAAAACTATAATCAAATGTTGCTGTAATTTAACTGAAATTGAAGGCATTTTTTATTTTTTTATTTTCTCTCCTCACTTGTTTTTGTTGTCCGAACTAAACTCGATGTCCGCTGCCTGCTGGCTCTCTGGTACGACTCATGATTGAGGTTTCACCAAGATTATGCATCAGTTAAAAATATAATTGTCTGCTCTTTTTTTTTTTTTTCTTGTTTTTTAGTGGTTTGAACCAAAGACATTCGGCTGACTCTGTTCCACTCTGTGCACACGCACGGAGGATTGAACACACCGTGCGCGTTCTGTGGTTATCCACAAGGTTTATTTACTTGCCTATAAAAGAAAATTCTTCAGGGAGTGTCCGTAGCAATTGTTTACAGCATGTTGTAGTCCAGCTCACATCCTGCGTTGGGTCTGGCTTTTGGAAATCGTACGCTTCCTCTGCCAGATTACAGATCACTCCTCTTCTACACTGTAGACACGATGACGATGAACCAGCTGAATGTCGGTGGGATCAGTAGGCATGGGTTGGTGTGCTTTATGTTTTAAGGTTTAATTTCTGGTATTGAAGACTAAAATGCAACAGATGTTTCTGTTGCTGCTACAATAATATAGAACATTTACTGGCTTTATAAGCAACATATTGAGCAGGAATCTGCAACTTGCAACTCCACAGCCAACAGCGGCTCTTTGGTCCTTCCATAATGGCCAAAATAGTGCAGAACCACTATTTTATATAGATGGATACAAAAATGCAGATTTTAACAAGTTTTTTTTTTTTGCATGGAATAAATTCTTCATTGAATTTCCACAACAGAAGTATCTGTAATAGTATTGACTCATCATTATAGTGGAAACTGTTTTTTTTTTTTTTTTGCCTCATTTTCCACAAACATCAACATGCCACCTAAGAAAATGTATCAATCCTCTTTTTGTAAATGTTTTATAGTTTTTCTTTGTTTTAAAACCTAAAGCCAAAAACAAAATGGTGGTTCTTTAAAAAGAATGACCACTAATTTTCCTACAGTAGATATTCAAAAATTAAGTTGTCCTTTTACCAATGGTTATGTGACTTTTGTGGCCCTAAAGTTTTATATAGCTGGACGAAGGGCAAAAACGACTCCTTAGTGTGTAAAGGTTGCAGACCCCTGATACAGAACAAACACCATATTAGTTTCCAAATGCTGACTGCATTCAAATACTACAAATTTCTGCTTTTTATAGAGTAAAATAAACATTACCAGGTGAAATTGGTTGCTTAGTCAGGCTATCTGCTCAGGTAGCCAGTCTGCTTGTAGCTTCACGACTGTTTAAAACAGCATTACCTTAATAAAAGGCCTATTAGTGACTTTTAAATACTTTCAAGAAACTGTTTAAAAAAAACAAAACCTGCTTTCCTTCAGCCAGCCAATTAGTAGTGAACAGCAACGGGTGGGGGAGGGGCTGCTCTTTACAAGCTTGAGAAAACGCCATCACTCAAACATGTTTTCTGGGATCTCATTGAAAGGAATTTAAGGTACGACGTCAAATTGTAGCTTTTTTAAAAAAATTTTTAAAAGCCTAACTTTATATAGCAGTGATAGCAGAAACCTGCCCATGCCTGGTGCCCCGCATTCTGGCTTTGTCCTCAACTATAATGCTAATAATAATAATAATCCTGTTAGAAAATGTTTGTCTGTTGACGTTTCATGTGGTCGCTCACTCCAGGGTACGTTCATAACTCTGCAGCAGATGGAAGAACTTGTGTAAGAGCACTTTAGCTTTGCTCCAGAGTTTTGCGTCAGTCCTCAGCAGGTGCCACTGTTCTGATCAAATGAAGTCTTAAACGTTGCATCGCTGCACTCGGACGCTTGGTGTACTTGACTGTTGTATATTTCAGAATGTGGTCAGTCGTGCCACTGTGTGTACGTGTATGTTTTTGTCTGTCTCTCTGTGTGTGTGTGTGTGTGTGTGTGTGTGTGTGTGTGCTACAAAGCAGAAGAAGCATTTTATGCACACTTGTTGGACCTGTAATATGTAAATAAACACGCAAAATATTTTATTTCCTCTGCCAATTTTACACTAGTCACTTTGGATAGTAGCATACTTGAAGAGGAAAATAAATGATTATAATGTCTGTTGTTTTCTGTAAACTTGTTTGTACCGACACTTATGACATCTGTAGCACACGGCTAAAAAATTGATTTTTGTACTTTTCTTTTTCTTTATCTTATTCACTGCACCACATTAGAGCACAAACCGCTGCCTTAGAGAGACCTAGTAATAAAAATCTCAAATGATCACTTTTGTCTGAATTATTTTTAATAATAAGAGGTGAGGCAGGGCTAGAGCACCCTCTTGTGGTGACTGAAGGTTATAAACGGCTTACCTCAACTTTACCTTCACACAACCAGCACTAAGAAATGTCCTATTTTCTTATAATCAAAGATGCTAACAAAATGTCGCATGCTCCGTTGTTGCAGAGGAGAAAATTAAATCGCTGAAACCAGATCTTAACTTATTCCCGTGCATAGCTAGTTGCTATAGGAAGTTGGAAAAGTTCATTCTTCACCGCCATTGGCCATTTTCAGGTTCAGAAATTTTCGTTCATCTACCAACGTCTAAATCTAACCCTAAACAAAGTCTAGTCTAATCTTTGTTACAGTTTAAGCTAGATATTTGCTGCATAAAAATACACATTTTTACTTCAGTCTATTTTTTCTATTTTAGGTCAGTTGCTTATTCAAATTACTTCTATTTGCTCATTATAGAAGCTACATCTCAATGTAATGCCGGTAAAAGTGTTGCTAGAGAGTTAAAGGAGTGATGACTTCCTGAAAGTGGAGTGTTGGAGATAGAGACCCAATTTCAAGGTGTTAAAAGTAATTTGACTGCGTAATTTCAGTCATATTTGATTTATGTAGCACTTTTATAACAACTGAAGGTTGCATAGTTACTTGATTGGGCTATAAAGTTATACTATGTGGCTGGAAAACGCATAACACTGCCCCATGAAAGCCCCAGCATCCGGTATTGCCACAAATGAATCCAGATCCACAAAACTCTTGTGAACAGATATCTGATCCGCAGCTAGGGCAAAAACTACCCCCTTCTACATCCCGGGTTTAATAATCATGTCTCATCTCGAGTGTGGACAAACTGTGCAAAGCTAAAGCAACATCTCCCGGGAAAAAACGATTTACAAAAACTCAACAAATTCTTTTCAACATTTGCTTTGCCTTGCAAGCAGGTTTTAAACAATTACTCGTTTAACTGTTTTGTGGCTCACATAGACAATTTCTATCCAACGTGCAGTGGAGCCTTTCCGCTGAGCTAAGGTTGCTGGAACATGTAATTCTCCCTGATTATTGAGGATTTTATTAACTGCTCATCAAAATAATCCTGACCACCCAATCAGCTGGCTTACTCACCCTTTTGCAGCGTCTAGGAGGTGCAGCAGGGTGTTCAGGACCCCGTGTTTAGACGACCTAATAACAGCTTACCCCCAGACAAAGCTCTATTTCGAGGCCCTGTGGTTTCGGCCCTTCAATCCCTCTCCAACACTAAAGGCTGCTAGTTCCTGCCTTATTGTCATCCCGCCGTGGCAGACGCTACTGTAGTCGCCCTTTTTTTTCTTTCTGTTTTATTGTCGGCTGTCATTAGTGGCTTTTCTCTGTCTCCTCTCGACAATTATTTTTCCTCCTCTGTCTTTGCTCCTGTCTCATTCTTTCCAACTGCTCTGCCCATCGCGTCCGGTCATGTGTCAGACCTACCTCGCAGCTCCGAGGCTGTTTATGTAACACAGGACGTCCGGAGTCTTGGCCGCCATTGTTGTGTCTGTGTGCGAGTCGGAGACAAATAGTCTCTCCACAGAGTGAGACGACCAGGCAAACGCCATAAAACACTGGGACAAATTTGAGTTTGATAGACTCTGTGTCAGCAGTTGTTTTTCACTTTGGTTTTGGCTCCATAAATCTACTCTGGGGCTTCAGGCTTCTACTGCTGTCTTCAGAATGAGGGATTATCTTTTTGATTCTCATGACAGGCCAAACACATTATTCTCAAGACTTGTTTTATAAGTTTCGGCTGTAATAATTTAAAAAGAAAAGTCTTGGAAGAGACGATACAAATGGGTTTAGCAGACAGCTCTGGTTGAATGTCTTTTATAGTTAATGTATTTGAAAATATAAGTATCCAGATTTATTGAGCTTCCTAAG